TTTCTTTTAAGAGCTAGTTTCTCTTAACTTAAGCTCTTTATTAATTTATTTAAGGTCTTTCTTTAAAGTAGTAATAACTCTTTAAATCTTCTTATTATATCCTTTATTTTATTTATATTAAATACTAGGTTATATAGCTATATTAGTTTGTATATAGGTCTTATTAATCGATTTTATTATATTTATTAGTTCGGTTACTATTTTTATTTATATCGCTAAAGCCTATAATAATTTACTTAAACGGTTATCTTTTTTATCTTATTTAGTAGCTAAATTATTATAAAATTTTACTTTCTCTTAAATCTACTAGTCCTAGAAACTTATATCTTCGTTTTAATATAGCTAGCTAGTTTTCTAGTTAATTAGTAGGTTGCTCTCCTATAGCTATAGAAGTCCTAATATAAGGTTATATTCTTTAATATCTATAATATTAAAGTTAACTTATTCGTTATAGCCCTAGATATTAATATTAAGGTAATTAATCTTTATATTAATAATTCTATTATTATAGTTAAAGGCCTTTCCTTTAATATTTATAAGTTTATATAGATCTATCTTATATCTTTATATAAGTTAATAACGATTAATAACTCTAGGTAAAATATAATTACTTACTATACTATAGTCTAAAAGTATATATATATAATATCCCGCGATTTAAATATCTAATACTATTTAGTTATTATAGCTTACTATTACTATATATAGGGTCCTTAGATCTTATTATATTATACTAGTTTATAGGCTTTTTATAAATAGTATACCTTATTTTTTACTTAGTCCTTATTTATTTTATTTAGGTATTCTTTTTTAATTTATTATTAATATTATTTCTTTATATTTTCGTTATATAGTATTATATTAAAGCTTAAGAGACTAATTTCTTATAGCTAATTAAAGATTTCTTATTTCTTAACGCTATATCGTTTATATTATACTACTTTATAGTTAATTATATACTATACTTTATAATTTTATTTATTTTTATACTAAAGGTTAAGTTTTTATTTAATATCTTTTTATTTTTCGCGTAGTATTTTTATATTAATTCTTTCTTAGTTAAATATAGCCTATAGCCTTTATATATCTTACTAATAATCTTTTAGTATACTATTATATCGTTTATATTATACTTATACTTCTTTATATTTATAAACTCTATAGTTTAGGTATATATATTTATTATAATCTTCTTTATTATATTTAATTTATTATATAAGTCTTTAAAAGATTAATAGTTTAGATACCTTAAAGTAAGTAGCGCTATATTATTCTTTTATTTTAGCGTATTTATAGATATTATATATCTTTAAAAGATATCTTATTAATAAGCTATAATTATTATAGTATTTAAGTAGTATACTATAATTAGGTTCTAATAATATAACTTAGTTATTTAAGTAGTATTAATCGATTTTCTAATAGTTTAGTTTTATACTTAAGTAAGGTTTTAAAAGTACTTATCCTTTAAACCTAACTAAGAAGGTATTATATTATACTTTTATTTAAAAGTATATTATATAATTTAGGTAGATATATAATATCTATAAAATATACTTATAGTACTTATAAGTAAATAGTATTTATAGATTATCTTTAAATTCTCTTTATAGTTACTATTCTTATTATAAAGCTATAAAAGTATTAACTATAATAATAGCTATAATATAGTTTCCTTTATATAGTACTAGTTAATACTAAATTAATATAGCTTATTAGTTTTCTATAAGAATTTAAAGTATTTATTAAGTTTTAATTTTAAGTATTTCTTTAAATTCTTTAAAGTATAAAGCGTATTCTTTAATTATAGCGTTTTCCTTTAATAGTAAGGGTAATAGTATAAGTTCTTTTTTATCTTTTATTTCTCTAGGTATTTCTTATTCTTTAAAGCTTATATTATTAATACTTTATTATTCCTTTTTAAGTAATTATCTAAGTTTTATAAGTATAAGGGCTATATTTATATCTTCTTTATTATATTACTTATAAACTACTTATTATTATTATTAATCTTTATTTTATATATCCTCTTAAAATCGTTTACTATTCTTTTTAATTTAGTCTTAAGAGACTTCTTTAAGATAAGGGTATTTTAGTTCTATAAATTTAACTTATTTCTATATTTTAAGATCCCTTTATTATATTATTATAAAGGTCTTCTTTAAGGGCTTTAAGAACTATCTAGTACTATTCTTATCGCTTAAGTATACTATATATTTATCGTTATAGTATATAGTTTAACTAAGGAGTTTATACTTTAGTTCCTATCTATTAATAACGTTTAAGTATTTCTTACCTTTTAAGGCTAGTACTTAATAGGTTTTCTTCTCCTTATAAGGTTATTTATATTCTTTAAAGTAATATCTAAGTTTCTTATAATTAAAATACTTTCTTTTACTTTTTTATATTATATTTAGATTTATCTTACCTAGGTTAATTATATAAGTATAAGTAATAAGAGTTTTATACTTTTTTTTATAGTTAGCGTATTAGTTAAAGTTATTCTTATAAGAAGGGTTTTAGTTTCCTTTTCCTTATTTCTTTTCTTAGTATCGCGCGTATTATCTATTATCGATTTATACTACTATAGTAATATAGTTTAAGAGGTTATTAAGTCGATTTTCCTTATAAAGTTTATTTTTAACTTCTTCTTTAAGCTTATTATAAAATCGTAATATAAGAGGTTCGTTATCTTAATTAAGCTTTAAGGTAACTTATTAGAACTTTATAGTATAATTTAATACTAAGATCCTTTATTAAAGTTCTTAAAGTTTTTATTTAGCTTTTTATTCCTTATTAGTTATTTTAAATACCTTTATAATAGCTTCTTTAAATCCTTAGAAACTAATAAAGACTTTATCTATCTTATTATCTTATCGCGCTAGTTAGTTATTAAGAAAGTCCCTTATAATAGGTCTAAACTAAGTAAGTATTATTCTAAATAAATAATTTCCTATATAAAGTACCTTTTTAACTAAGTCTAAGAGTTTAGTAAGGTAAAACCGATAGTAGGCCTTAAGTTAGGTAAGAAAGTCTTAAAGTATACTATAAATATTATTAAATAGTTTTAGCTATTTTAGTTTAACTACTTCTTTAAAGTCCCTAACTTATTTATTACCTCCTTTATTCCTAAGTAACTATACCTTATATTAAAGGGCGATAATTTTACGTATTATATTTAAAGGCAATATAATAACTCTAGAGTTAGTTAATCTAGCTTACTATATAGGTATATTAATATTTACGATATTACTTAAAGTAACGTAGTATTATACTAAATAAGAGCTTTTAACGTATAACGACTAGTATTATTCTTAAGGGATAAACCTATTAAGGGGTTTATATTAATAGATATAATAAGGCGTAGTCTAAGTAATAATAAGTATATTACGTTAGTAATAAGTAATAGGTTATAGACTATAGACTATAACTAGGTAATTAAAATTAAAGATAGAATCGTAATAAAGATCTATATTAAAAGCTAGAGAGCTATCTATCTAAAAGAGTAAAAGTAGGTAGCTATATATACCTATAAAGACTATCCTTAAATTATAGTCCTAGCCGTAATCCCCTTTATAGCTTATTATAGCTTACTTATAAGCTATACTCCTAAATAGTAATCTATCTATATAAGGCTTACTTAGCTTATATACGCTCTAAGTAAGCTAAGCCTAAGTAACTTCTTATCCTAACTATTATTCCGAGCCGCTTTATTACGTAAACGTAGCTAGCTCTCCTATAGCCCGCTAACCGTGGTCGTAATATAAAGTATAATATTTACCCTTAGTAGTAGCTTAAGAAGCCTTTAATAGAGAAGCTCCCCCTTTTATATACGAATTACGCTAATCCTTACTATTAGGATCTTAATAAGCTACTTCTTTAAATCTAAGACTATAATATTATTTAAAGCCTCTATAGCCGACCTTACGTTACTAAGAATACTAGCCTACCTATACCTTAAGACCTAAGGCTATATCGAGATAAAGACAACGATACCGTGTAGCTAGCTTCGTAGCCGGCCTTATAGTTAGTTAGAGGCACGCAGAGACGGCTACCGCGGTCTAGTCAGGCAAGCACCCGCTGCCTCAACGCCAGCGTACGCCGCACGCGCATATAAGCCGAGATCGATAAAGGAGGCAGTTAGGGCTCTACCCGGCCGTTATTAGGAAGATCGCGAGCGCGCGTAAATACACGGGGAAGGGGATCTCGAGGGAGACGGGGCAGAGGTGCAAGGGCTACGCCGGCCTCGTCGGTAGAGGAGGTCATCCCAGCTACGCAGCCTACGCCCACGTAGCCAAGGCCGGACTATTAGCCGGGCCGCAATATACGACGCAATATACGCATATCTCGCGATAATCGCGAAGATACGTTATTTAAACGAATTAAGCTGCCCTAGGCTTATAGGTGTATATAATCTTTACGCTAGCGCGGCTCCCTCCTTTGCCACGTTAGTGCAGCTAAATTAGGTGGCGGGGCCTAGGCGGGCGGGGTACGCGCAGAAAAAGTGGATCGTCTATGCAAATAGAGACTTTTATCTGTGCAAATAGTAATACTCATAGGGAGGGATAAGGGGCGCGCCTATTAGTGCGTGTGGGCGTAAGCCTAACCTTTAATAGCTATACATTAGTCTATGGCCCACTGGGACCCTTGTTGGGTCTTTGAGACCCTCGTTGGGTCGTGACATCCAGCCGGGGTTTTTTTAAGGGGCTCCGGTGCCTTTTAGTGAACCCTTAGCTTGTCTTTATACTCCTTAATTAGCGGGCAACAACTACTTATTGGCCCCTGCACCTAACCATGCCCCGCGTCGCTACGAAAACTTTACGCGACGACGACGCGTCGCGCTGTTTGTCCCACCCTCGATTTAAGCCGATGTACTGTACGCTTGTAACGAGGCTCGCGGCGAATCCTTGGCCTCCCACCATTGCCTCATCCTCCATCCACCCACCTAACAACGCCTTTGCGCCATCTCTAGGAGAATCCCCCACGGGGCAGCCAACACCATGGACTCATTCATGCTACAGGACGACGGTGTCCGCGATCGTGTCCGCCAGGCCGAGGAATTCCTGGACCCAAGTATGTACCGGTCACGCCCTCCACTGCCTGGTCGCCGCTGACGATTCTGACAACCAAGGCGACTCGCACGTCCGCAGCTACAGATCAGACATCATTATGATGCTCCAGAAGAACCATCGTCGCCTGATTGTCAACCTTGACCATGTTCGCGACCACAGCGGCAACCTGGCAAGCGGTCTTCTCCACCAGCCATTTGAGTGGTCGCTCGCCTTCAACCACGCCCTGAAGAAGATTGTTGAGACAATACCCCAGGCTCGGCCAGATCAGACAGCCCGGGACACCATTTTCTACTGCGCCTGGGCGGGCAGCTTTGGTCTCAACGCCTGTACCCCCCGGACGCTCTCGTCCCACCACCTCAATCACATGGTGTCTATTGAGGGTATTGTTACCAGATGCTCTCTTATCCGGCCCAAGGTTGTCCGGAGCGTACACTACAACGAGATCAAGGACAAGTTTCATTTTCGGGAGTATCAAGATCAGACCATGACGAACGGGGTGACCACATCCAGCGTATATCCCCGAGAAGACGACGAAGGCAACCCTCTCACCACCGAATATGGCTTCTGTACATACCGCGATCACCAGACAATCTCCATCCAGGAGATGCCCGAGCGAGCCCCGGCTGGCCAACTCCCTCGCGGTGTGGATGTCATTCTGGATGACGATCTAGTCGATCGTGTCAAGCCGGGCGACAGGGTTCAGCTGGTTGGCATTTATCGCACTTTGGGCAATCGCAACACCAACCACAACAGCGCGCTATTCAAGACCATCATTCTGGCCAACAACATTGCGCAGCTTTCATCCAAATCCGGAGGAGAAGCTGTGACTGCAACCATCACCGATACCGATCTGCGCAATATCAACAGGGTCGCAAAAAGGAAGAATCTCCTAGAGCTACTCTCGCAGTCCCTCGCACCAAGCATATACGGTCATGATTACATCAAGAAGGCAATACTTCTCATGCTTCTTGGAGGCGTAGAGAAGAATCTCGAAAACGGGACCCACCTGCGTGGCGACATCAACATCCTCATGGTCGGCGATCCTTCTACGGCAAAGTCACAACTGCTGCGATTCGTTCTTAACACAGCACCCTTGGCTATCGCCACAACAGGCCGTGGGTCTTCTGGTGTTGGGTTGACTGCCGCTGTCACCTCGGACAAGGAAACTGGGGAGAGAAGACTCGAAGCCGGGGCCATGGTTATGGCAGACCGGGGCGTCGTATGCATCGACGAATTCGACAAGATGTCAGATGTGGACAGGGTCGCTATCCACGAAGTCATGGAACAGCAGACCGTCACTATCGCCAAGGCGGGAATTCACACCTCCCTCAACGCTCGGTGTTCCGTCGTCGCCGCTGCAAATCCCATCTTCGGTCAATACGACCCGCACAAGGATCCGCACAAGAACATTGCGCTTCCCGACTCGCTCCTTTCCCGATTCGACCTCCTCTTCGTGGTCACAGATGATATCGAGGACACCAGAGACCGGCAAGTCTCTGAACACGTGCTACGCATGCATCGGTACCGCCAGGCTGGCAGTGAAGAGGGGGTGCCTGTCCGTGAGCAGGCGACTCAGTTTTTAGGCGTGTCTGCCGATAACCACCCCGGGCCTCAACGACCTACCGAAGTGTATGAGAAGTACGATGCCATGCTCCATGCAGGCGTGAATATCCGAACATCTGGTCGAGGCTCGAGCAAAAAGCCCGAGATCTTGAGCATACCCTTCATGAAGAAGTATATCCAGTACGCGAAGACGCGAATCAAGCCTGTCCTCACCCAGGATGCTTCGGACCGCATCGCCGATATCTATGTTGGCCTGCGCAACGATGAAATGGAGGGTAATCAGAGAAGGACCAGCCCACTGACCGTCCGAACATTGGAGACTATAATCCGTCTCGCAACGGCGCACGCCAAGGCGCGACTGTGTAATAGAGTCGAAGAGCAGGATGCGGTCGCCGCCGAGTCCATTTTGCGATTTGCACTCTTCAAGGAAGTTTATGAAGACAAGTCGCGCAAGAAGCGTAGAAGAACGCACGTGACCGACTTTGCTTCCTCGAGTGAGGAGAGCTCGGGCGACGGCGATGCGGGCGACGGCGATGCTGATCGTACCTATCGCGGCAGCCGGTTGGCGCGAGGGGCCTCTCCGCTGGCTACACGCTCGCAGAACGGGACCTGTTCCTCTGTCGGGAGGCCCAGTGTGGTTCAAGCGACCACCAGTGGAGGAGTCGAAGATGGACAAGGCAGCAACAGCCTTGAAACGCCTCGTCGATCCGGGCGGAACGATCGATCCGGACCCGAGCCCCAGACCCAGATTTCGTTTGCCTCCTCCATACCTGCGTCTCAGTTGTCTTCGCAAACACGAGACGATGGCGAGGTTGAACAGGATTTGAGCAGTGGCACAGCCCGCCTAGCCCGCCTAGCCCTCAACAATGCTCCTGTCGATCCCCAGCGATTCACGGCTTTCAAGACTGCCCTGGGGCAGCTCCTCGAGACCGCCCTCTTTAAGGACGACTGCGCTACGTTTGAAGATGTATTTGTCGCCGTCAATCGCAAGATCACGGATCGCGATGGTCCTCTCTTCAGCAGAGACGATGCGAAAAAGGCACTCAAAGAAATGGAAGATATGAACCACATCATGTGAGTCTACATTGACCCGGCCTGCCCCGGTTGTGACCCCTGCTTCATCTTTTGTCCTGCCCGTCGTCCGCACGGCGGCGGAGGAGCATTTGTTTGACGTGCTGAGCGACTTACTAACCGCATACAGGTTCGCCGAGCTCGCCGAGGGTCAGATGATTTACAAGATATAAGGCATCGCCGGTTCTTGGCTTTGACTGGCAGATGGCGTTTCGGACTGTGTGTTTTTGTCGGCTGAAATGGACACGATGACTTCGAAGTGATGGGCTCGTGCGCCAGACTCTGAAGTCGTCGGTGGAACGGGGATGGATTTGATGATTAAGGAAACCACTAGACGACGTGGATGTGACGCTTCACCGGGGACGATGTGGAGAGGGAAGCCGACGGAAATCCTACAACTTGTGGATCATAATTGTAGTTGGAACTCTCGCAATCGCCGACAGACAAGGGCACCATTCCACGTCTCGGCACCGTCTTCATTGATAGCCATGAGGGGCATGCCAACCTGTTCAATGGCGAAGCTTGCTGCGACAGATCCCATCGCAACCGCGTCTTCCAGCGAGTGCCCTCGAGCCAAGGCCACGGCCAGGCCGCCAAGAAAGGCGTTGCCACCCCCTGTAGGATCAACAACCTTGCCGGGATCCTGGTGGTAGGCGGGGATCCAATACTCAGTGCCCGGGTCGACCTCGATCTCGTCGCGCTGTATCAGACCGTCCTCGTCCGTGCGGAGGCCGGCAAAGAGTGCCTCGATGTCTGTATCGTGTTGCAAGCTCCCCCTCGGGCAGGCCCTGCAAGGTTGCGTGGTGCGTTCGCTCTGTTGGCCACCATTTTTGGCGACGAAGCAGCCCTTTTCACCGGCACGAACGACGAGTGCGTAAGACCGGAGTGGCATGCTGGCCAGCAGTTGCTCGCATGCGCGTTCGACACTTGACGTGGAAACGAGGCCGGTTTCGGGGTCGATGCCGTCGTTGCCCATGAAGCCGGCCAGCTCGGTGTGGTTGGGGCTGCATATGTCGATGAGAGGCAATGTGTTTGTGCAGTTGAGAAGCTCGTCCGGGACGCACAAGTCGGGCACGGGCTCCCATACGAATACCGGCTTGACGTATGCAGTGCCAGGGCGAGTGATGGCTCTGCGACGAGAGGTGATGGCCCGGACTAGCTCCTGACATCGAGTTGGCGAGCAAATTAGATGAAATGACCGAGATAGAAGCATGTCTGTGGTGAGGTCGTCAGCCGTAATGCGCTTCTTGGGCGTCAAGTACTCAAAGGCGCGCTTTTCAGCCGGGCCTTGATAACCGTTCCAGCCACGAGTGGTGAGCCGACGGGGATCTCGTCTTATAAGGGCGGCGGTGGACCAGCTGTCGATGATGGAGGCCAGGGCCTGTGGGAAGTCGGATCCTTGGTCGACAACCCATCCTATCGATGATGATAGAGGCGGAGGAGAAAGGATGCGAGCCCCGATCGCCGAGTAAGCACCGGCTCCGCCAAGAATACTGCGAGCGGGGGGCATAGAGGGACCAAAGTCGATGTCGTCTGCGCAGGTGTCGGGAAGGGACCTTTAGAATCAGTCCGGATCCTGAAAGACTTCGTGTAGGTGTTAAACGTAGACTTCCGCAGGCTCACCGAGAATCAGCATCCCGAGCGTGACAAAGTCGGTAGTGCTGTGATTAACCGTTGCCGGGTCGTCCCCATCTCCTGACTTGGGGTCTTTGTCTGTGTGAAAGGCCTCCATGGCGAGTGGCATAGTGGTGGAACGCCAGGGCTGAATTACCTTGACGCGCGGACGTAGGTTTTATAGGCAGTGGTTTCAGTAAAATGATAGACAGAGGCAGAAGTGAGTTACCCCAGACTCACTTCTGCCTCCAAGTCTCTTTACCTTATAATCTTGGAACTTTCTTCGGGGGGTATGTCTTTCCTCAAAATTTCGTTTACTTTGAAAATTCACGTTAGTCATACTTATGAGGCTTCAATTAAACCAACCCATTATACGTACTAGGAAACTAGAGGAAACTATAATAGTTTATCATTCTCTCTAGACCTTATTTTCTAGCGCGAGCGTCACTGGACCGAGGATGAATCCAGTGGTATAAAGTACTGTACGAAGTACCAAGTACCTATTTCTCGCTTCTCGCGCTGTGGCGAAGCATTCCAGTCATCCTAATCTTGCGCCACTACTATAGAACTGCAGCAAAGAAGAGTGCTGCTAGAGGGCTTTCCGGAACGGCGCCCTCGCTGCAGCACCATCGGCGTGACTCCGAATCATGGGCAAGCGCAAGAAGTCTTCGAGGAAGCCCGAGGGCCCCAGGAAGGTAGGGCGATTCTCATCTGTCCGGGGGCTGCCTGCATCGATTACTGACTTGATTCGCAGGCCGACCCTCTTCCCACGACCTTCACCTGCCTCTTTTGCAACCACGAGAAATCGGTAACAGTCAAGCTCGACAGGAAGGCCGGCGTAGGCCAACTTGATTGCCGCGTGTGCGGGCAGAAATTCCAGTGCGCAGTTAATTGTCCGTCTTGACCGTGTCCCGCGACAGCCTCCCGAGACTCCCTCAGCCAGCTAACACCCGGTTCATTCTAGACTTGTCCGCTGCCGTTGACGTCTATGGGGAGTGGGTTGATGCTGCAGGTTCGTGCGCAATCCTACATCATGAGGCCTTCTCGAATGCGCGCTTCATCTTCTGCTGTGCACTGCTGGTCTACTCGCTGACATCCACGCACACTAGATGCTGTCGCCAAGGAAGACACAGGTAAAACCGGACACGGAGGTTTGGCAAGTATATCCGGCTCCTCGAAACGCGATTACCGGAGTGGAAGACCCGCAGCCGGCGAAAGCGACGACGGACATCACGCAGCCGGCGTCGCAGCTGCAGACGACGAGCTTTACTGAGTGGTCACGGCGAAGGGGCAATCGGATATACCGCGCTCTATTAAATTTGGTCGGTCAGAGCCGAAGTCGACCTGCACCCGGTGTTTATTTGGTGAGAATCGCGCGCGACTGCGGGCAAGCTGGTCAGATGGTATAAAACCTGTCACCGAAATCTCCAAGACCAGGTACTATATAACTGCCGGCGGGTTAGTCCCTGGATAGATGTCATTAGGTTGACTTACTTCTTCTCATCCAAGCCCTACGCAACTGTGTATTAGCGTACGGAACATCGTCAAGCGTGCTTGGGGACTAATGGCCAACCTGGTCGATGAAGGCAGTGACGACTTTGAGCCGGGGAAACTGTGTGGCGAAGTTGCTGACGCCTTCGGGGCTTGCAATCAAGTTGAGGAATAGGATATGATCTTCGGGAACACCTCGTGCCTTCAATACCTGCACCGCCATAATGGCCGACCCGCCTGGAGAGCATGTGAGCCCTTGAATCGCTGCAGCTCGTGCGCTCGTGTTCGGTCCTCGACCTCTTGACACGTGGCCGTGCATCGCCGCATTGGGGACGTTAGCTGGAGACCCATTGACTTACCCGTGGCAAACATGGGATCGAGTAGTAAAACCCATCTGTGGGCGATGTCCTCTGGAAGCTTGTCGTAAAACAACTTGGGTTGCGACGTATCCTCGTCTCGCTGGATCAGTATCTTGCCTATACGCACTGAGCGACAGCAGTCTCGGAGGCCCTGTTCCATGGCCTCGCCTGCCCGCATGATGGAAACGCCGCATATCTTGCCCTGGAACATGAGGCCATTGTAGGTGCGGCCGACCGGCGTGATGATGTCGTGCTGGATAACGGGCAGATGATTCAGGCCCTCCTCGACAAGTAGCCGGATGATTCGATTCGAGTAGAAGATGAAATCAGCCCGCTCCGTATCTTTGTTTCGAATGATCCTGGGCGGCTGTCTCAGTGCGAGTTCAGGTATGAACCGTGATGGCTGAAGTAATATGCTGAACACTTACGAGAGCAACGCGATGAGCTGCGGCGTCTGGGGCAGAACGCGCACATTGTCGAAAGGCACCGTGGCCGATACCGTGGCGCTCGGTGCTCGATCGTGCGACGGCTGGTCAGTCCCCACAGATTGAACAGATGCAGCAGCCATGACTCTGAACTGATTGAACAGCTCCGCGAAAGCCTCTCTCGAGCCTTAAGGGGGTTTGTTATGGGCTTGGTCAAGTACCAAAAGTAATTAGGTAACCACCTAGGTAGTCGCCAGGCAAGCCTTGGCACCAATCAGCAGGACCACTGCTTTAATACCAGTAGGCAAACTACTTGCTATAGTTGGACGGAATAATAAAAGGACTAGAGGGGTGCGTAAAAACACTAAATATTATCTTAAAACTTATAAAGTGTAGGTTGTAAGATAATAATATTTTCAAGGGATTTTAATATCATTTAAAAAATCTTTTTTATTAATATAATATATAAGCTATCCATTTATAGGCTTAAGCTATTAGAGGGGGAAAGAGGAGGCATAACCCTCCCGCTAAAGAGCTTTGGGCGCTGAAGCTGGGCTTGTAGAGCGTTTTGCTGTCTTGACACAGTCCCCCGCACCCTGCTAGCCGGCTTGCCCCCGCTTTACAGCCGTGATGAGGGGTAATTGCACCTTGTACGTGATCATTACTACCCTACCTACTCCGTGCCTGAGGCTACACGGCGTGGAATTTGGTGGCGGGCGATGCCGTCTGCGTTCCCTGTTCCCATCTGCCTGAGCCAGGGACACTTCCGTGCCCAAAGACTGATTTCCGCTGGTTGCCTTGAGAAGCGGGCTCCACGCCCCGGGACAAGTTGCCGAGGTTAGGAGTCGGCGAGATGCATGTTCACGCACCCAGCTCACTGCCCTACCTCAATAACCCCTCCAGAACGTACTTGCCGGGGGGTGATCCGAAATTAGACCAGCAACCCATGACTAAGTAACCATCCTCATCGCCATTCGTCGTGCCTTTCCTGGACCGTCCTACGGCACAATCCATCTTCCTCTCCGCGCCGACTCCAGTGCTCTTTACAAGCTGCAATCGTTTCTCGTCGCCATGGACCAAACCATCCCCAATCCTGAGGTCCTCTACGCCCTCCGTGAGGTACGGCTAGGCCAATCTCGTCTCATGACGGCGATCGAGTCCATATCCGACAGACTTGACCTCGGGCCTGCGACATCCACCTTGCGGTCGGCATCCATTGGAGATGCTTTCGGCTCGGAAGCGCTCGACAAGTCAGCTTCGCATGATTCGAGATCTGCAGAAGGCCATCATCGGGTGACCCCGGCGCCGCAGGATGTCCAGTCCGCGAACGCATCGTCGGGTGTCTCTTCGAGCCCCAAGCCTGGGTTCGCGTCCCGCATCGTGCTCACGTACGTACCATCCGCTCTCCTCCGCACACGTCAGCGCAGTTGTGCCACTCACTGTCGACTCAGGACCTATCCCAAGCAGATTGGCATCGACCCCGTACCCATGGATTGGGGCAATCCTGATCCTGAGCAGCGAGGTCCCGTTGTTGTTTCGAGGTCGCCATCCACCATACGCCGCCGGAATGGTCTGTCAAAATCCCAACAAAGCGGTGGACATACTCAGCTTTTGAATTTGCACTAACAAGTGACACCGATTTGCTGATCTTCAGCTATTGGAGGTTGGTCTCGAAGGCGCCCGACCAGCCGTAATGGTTCAAAGCTGACCTCATTTACTTAGCCCAGTCAGTGTCATCTATTTCTAGTAGCACTTAATTCATTTAAACGAGTCCATCGTGGGCAGCTCGGCTGAGCTAACAAGGTTGTCGCAGTGGCGGCTCGTACTCCCTTTACTACGCCCTCGCCGTTGCCAGCAAGGAGTTGGATGTTGATCACAGGTGTGTCAAGACGTTCTCGGCGCTTTCATAGTGGCCTGACAGGCCGGACGCTAGACCCGACTTCACAAACACGGAACCAGCGGTTCGGATTGGCCCGTTTCCTCAGTGGGGTGACCGCGGCAAGATCGTGGCCATGGATCCCTGGGGCCATTTGGCCCCCTGGACCTTCAAAGACATGATGGACCGAGCGAATAGTAGGGGTATTTCGTTCCCTGCGTCACTGTTTTGCTGACCATTTGGCAGTCGACCTGCGACCGACAATCGCCGTCACCAAGGCTCATATGAAGGCAAGCACCTTTCCAAGCTCGCCAATCAGACGAGACGGGCCCCGTTGCTAACGACTGCTACAGCTTGCCGAGCTTGAGGACAGTGTCAAGAATGGCCGATTGTATGTCATGCCTCGTGGGCGAGAGATACTTACGGTCAACTGACGGTGTTGGGGCTTGGAAGATCACCGGACGGTAAGGTTTGCATAAATGAGCTTGGCGAGCTGGCCGTGACGAAGTTCGCTGTCGAACCGGTAAGACCTTTGTTGAGCCTCTTGTGTGCACAATCTGACAGCTATGTCACAGGTCTGGTATCTGCCCGGCGTCGCGGAGAGATTCGGCATCGGTACGTTGCTCAGGCAGGCAAGTGGTCTTGGTGTCTGACGCATTCCAGATGAGGGAACTCTTCGCCGGTCGCTATTCGAGCACACAGGCGGTAGCTATCCAGAAGTATGCCATCCAACTCCCCTCTTGGTCGCCGCCTGCTAACGGAGCACAGCTCATCACTCGAGGAGACATCAAAGTATTCCTTCCCCCAATCGGTATATCGCCCTTGGAAGAATCGTCTCGAGGCTCGAGGACTAACGACTCGCAGGCGGCCTGACTGTTTATTGCTTTGGAGACCCTGCCAAGATGTCAGACGAGTCGGTGCGTTTGTCGCTACGAATCCATGACGAGGTTTGTCCTGCATTGACATGTCGAAGGCTGCCGCTCATATGAAATCAGTGTAACGGGAGTGACGTATTCGGCTCCGACATCTGCACTTGTCGGCCGTATCTCCTGTTTGGCATCGAGGAGGCGGTCAAGGAAGCGCAGAACGGGGGAAGCGGTGTCGTCATCTACTTCAGAAAAGAGGGAAGAGCTCTTGGAGAAGTAACAAAAGTCTGTAACCCCTCAGGGCTCCAAATGATACCTCCAAGATACGGCTCATCCGCTTTTGGATCCGACAACTCCGGAAGAGGGGGGTGGGTGGGGTTGGCATCGGACATTTGGCTAACAGCATATACAGTACTGTATGGCATGAGTGACATTTCTTCTGAGATGGACGAAACGGCCACGACGGACGGGATGCTAATCGAGTTGCAGTGGTGTATAACGCTCGAAAGCGGGGCGCCGATCGAGCCTCCGAATACTTCACGCGGACGGAGAATATCGCCGGGGTCAAAGACATGCGCTTCCAGGCCTTGATGCCAGACATTCTCCACTGGCTTGGCATCAAAAAGATTGACAGGATGCTGAGCATGAGCAAGTGAGTACCTCTGACGATAAGTTGCTCATCGCTCTGCCTGCGCTGATCACGTGGAATTGGAAAGCATGAAATACGACGCTATCGTGGGCCAGGGGTGAGCGGTGAATCCATCAAACCAGCAATAAGAGAATTGCTAACAAGCTCAGCATTCCCATACATGAGAGAGTTGAGTTGCCGGAAGAGCTGATCCCAGCAGACTCGAGGGTGGAGATTGACGCCAAGATCACCGCTGGTAAGTCAGAACCCCGACTTAAGCTGGTTTCTTGGCTAAGCTGGTCAAAGGCTATTTTACCGCCGGCAAACGTCTTACAACTGAGGAGCTGCAGTCTGTCCAGGGACGGATGTGGGAAGAGTGAGTATATCCTCGGCGGCTGTGGATGGAGAAGTAACTGCTCACACGTCAATCTAGTATCGATCATTAGCATGACTTGCTCAACTGCCTGAAACTGGAACAACCAGGTCCTCAAGGCAAAGGGTGCTGCTTATCATCCTTTACGGCCGGGGCGCGCGAAACGTGCGTAGACGACAAGGGGGATTTGCTCCAAGCATCGATAGCTGAGCAATACAGGCGATCTTTCATGTTTCGTGTTGGTTCATTCGCCGGCGTGATTCCACCGCCCGATTCGAGGGGAGAGGACTGCACCCAAATCTCAACAGCTCGGGGACCAGGACGGGAGATGGATGTAACGCTGAGAGGAATTCATTAACTCAATACCTACCTACCTTACCTACATACCGAGGTGTCTTTTTTAAGGTAGCCAAGATAAACGCTCTTTAACTTTACTTAGAGGTAAGAAGGGCTGAAACTAGGAAGCTCCTGGGCGTGCGTTGGGCCGGCCAAGCCTTCCTTGCCGTGACAGGGCAAGCCCCCCACTGTGTGTACAAAGTACATTTTCCCTTGTTGAGCAGGTCTCGTGACCGGAGAGCGGAAAATCCCTTACCCGAGTTCACACGTTCCGCCCGCCTCGCTTAGACCACGGCCCGGTGCACACAAGATGCAAAATTATTCTTATTCCCTCCACCAGAGCGATCAACCTTGACATCTCCAACTGCTCGCATCTCGGCCAGCAACCATGGCGGTTGGAAAGTAAGCATTCTGCGTCGCGCTGGCGAGCCCATTTCCTCCTCGTTTGATTCTAACTCGCTACAGGAACAAGAGACTCTCCAAGGGGAAGAAAGGTCTGAAGAAGAAGACGGTCGATCCCTTCACGCGCAAGGATTGGTACTCGATCAAAGTATGCGACACCCCCACCGGCGACGCCGACTCTTGCCTGTGCCGACTCGCTGACACTTATTCAGGCACCAAGTCCTTTCAACGTCAGAGAGTGAGTCCGGGAGATGGAACAAGAAATTGCGAGCCGACGCCGACAATTGCTAACGGGGAAACGCAGTGTCGGCAAGACTCTGGTCAACCGTACGACGGGCCTGAAGAATGCCAACGACGCCCTGAAGGGCCGTATCGTAGAGGTATCTTTGGCCGACCTTCAGAAGGACGAGGATCACGCGTTCCGCAAAGTGCGTCTCCGCGTCGACGAGGTCCAGGGCAAGAACTGCCTTACCAACTTTCACGGCCTGGACTTCACCTCGGACAAGCTGCGCTCTCTAGTGCGCAAGTGGCAGACTCTGATCGAGGCCAATGTCACCGTCAAGACGACAGATGACTACCTCATTCGCCTCTTCGCCATCGCCTTCACTAAGCGCCGCCCGAACCAAATCAAAAAGACCACATATGCTGCCTCGTCGCAAATCCGAGCCATTCGACGCAAGATGACCGACATCATCCAACGCGAAGCGTCCAGCTGCACCCTCACGCAGCTTACCTCCAAGCTCATTCCTGAGGTCATTGGCCGCGAGATCGAAAAAGCAACTCATGGCATCTATCCGCTGCAGAACGTCAGTCGCTACCCCAACGGATGAAATATTCGCTTGCCTAGCTTGACTTTGGGACTAACACCTCGCGTCTAGGTCCACATCCGCAAGGTCAAACTTCTCAAGGCCCCCAAGTTCGATCTGGGTGCATTGATGGCGCTCCACGGAGAGTCAGGTACAGATGACCAGGGCCAGAAGGTGGAGCGAGAGTTCAAGGAGCGCGTTCTGGAAGAGGTGTAGGCGGCGCCGGTTGTATGCAGACGATGAGATGACGGTGATCCTTGGGGGTGATGAACTCATCCCAACACTGCTCTGGTGATTCCAAATGGCGTAGCATCTTAGGCGGCTGGGGGCAAGGTACTCCCATGGAATGGTAAAAGGCTAGGTCATTTATTTCTCGCGAAACGTGTTGCACTTGAAGTGGTTGTGTCTGGGTTTTGCACACCGATAGGATTCCGTGTACTTTGACCACCCTGATAATTTTGCCCCTTTCTCATGGGCTGATAGCGGTGGCTTACGATACCGCGCCTTGGTGCCTCGGCTGGCCGTTGATAGTCCAAATTCCTGGACGTCAAGGCAGGTCATGGATGATGGAAATCATGACTTGCGGGCTGGGGGTGTTCCGTCCACAAGCATCATCACTACCATTATCGCCCGAGAATCGCCAGGGGCTCAACCGGCTCACCAGATCAGAAGGTGATTGGGGGAGCTAGCTCTTTATCAACTTCTAGAAAATGGAGAAAAAAAGTCAAAAGGCTGGCAGCCCCGGTCTGGAGTCGCACCGCGCCACTACTTGCCATCCGTCAGAAAACCTACGACGACTGCGAGACCGTCAGCCAATGCATGGCAAATGCGCCACATGTGATGACTTCACCTTTCCGGAATGCCTCCGGTTGCTCCGATATCAGCCAATGTCCGGCATCGATGTCTGCTAGGCGGAATTGAGGAAAGAAACTCTTGATGGTTGGCAACATCGCGTCGGTCACATAATGGCTCCTGGTTCCACGAACGAAAAGGGCCGGTTTCTCGAAGCTTCGTTCACTGGGATTCGAGTAGGGGAAATCGCCGAGGTCGCCAAGTGACCGAGCAAGAATGTCCAGCGGAACACGAAATCTCTGGGCATCTTCTCCCCTAGAGCGGTAAAGATTCCCCAGTAGGAACTGGCGGATTGGGAGAGACTGCGCCCCAAACACCCATGTCGTTCGGACATATCAGTATGAAATCGTGACGGGGCCTCCTCGAGCGCGCATTTTCCACCCACCGGTTCAAATTCTTGTAGGATCCGATCAGCCTCGGCCTGGCGAGTGACATTTGCGGCTTGAACTTTGTTCATTCCACGGATGTACTTGGCGAAATCTTGGTTAAGTGCTGCGTTGACAGGAGCGTTGTCCACCGACACCAAACTCGCAACCATCTCTGGCCAGCACAACGCCAATACCATGGCAGTCTTCGCGCCCCTTGCGCAGCCACATTAGCTCGATGCTGAGCCGGCAGAGGCAACGGCGGACTTACATGGAGTGGCCGATGACAGTGACGTTTCGCAGACTGTGATCCTGGATAAACGTCGACACATCCCTGGCCATGGCACGATAGTCATGGCGCTGGTTATGAGGAGATTCGCCGTGATTTCTCAGGTCCTATCGCAATCAGTGATGCCACCCCAGCTCAGCCGAAACACGGTAGCAAACGATGGCTCACTAAAGCGTATACGGGAGCTCCCAAGTCCCGAGCGAGTGCCCTGTGCTATTCTCAGCCATGTGCTTTCTCCGAGGTGGGTCAGTTGGACTACAAAGGTCATACTTGCTGATGCCGCGGTTATTCTTCTTGGATCCGAATAACCCATGGAGGAAGATGATTGGGGCTTGATTTTCCCCGCTTGCTTTTGAAGTGGTCGGTTCGTGTAGATCGAAGGCTAAGGGACGGGCAGGTTCGACCTGGGTCCTCTGGGATACTGCTCTGCCATGAGGGAAAACAAAGGACAGAGCAGGGCTGTTTTTCAACACGCCCTGGCACCGGCATAGACGCCAGCGCGAGGGAAACAAGGCGCTCATGACAAGTGTTCACGCTTCGATGGTGTCTCGTTGGTTGGCTTCACGTGGTAACCATGGAGCGACATCGGACCCTGCGAAGAGGCAGAGAGGATTTATCTGCTGATTTGCCACGTTGGCTAGGCCCTCGGCCGGGCGGGCGTCTCAGTGCGAGAGGCACTAAACTGCTCCCCATAAGGCGCCCCGCCGAGGGCCCTGCCATCGGGCACTATTAATTACTGTACCTTTTTTTAGCGGCACTTCGCGCTTGCATGAGAGGCCACCTAAGGGAGCTGCCGAACTTCAACTTGTCCTGATCGCTTTCGCATTGAACAGGCCCTCCCCACGTCTGCACACCTCGGCCGCGTCCGTTCTGCGCCCGACACCAGGACTTGTTCTTCAGGCACGCACATTTCGAGACTTCGATTCGTTTCTTTGCGGTCGGTCAGCTCCACGCAGTTATCAAAGCCGAGCCACGTCTGGGTGTTCACCTTCCAAAGACGCCCGCAATCTCGAGACCTCGGTGCCAAGGAGCGTCATGGATTACGAGGCTCTCAAAGAGCAGTGGAGTGAAGTCGAAGATCGGGACGGAGTTCGCCTTAGCTGGAATGTGTTTCCCAGCTCGCGCATGGTAGGCAATAGCTGCAGGCCCCCCGACTCTGAATACCTGGTACTAAAGATCCTCGCTTGCCCAGGAAGCCTCGAGGCTTGTAGTTCCTATCGGAGCTCTCTACACGCCTTTGAAGGAGAAGTCGGACACTCCTCTCCTGCAATTTGAGCCCGTGACCTGCAAGCAGCCCTGCCGATCTGTTCTGAATCCCTTCTGGTAAACTTCCACACATGCCTTTCCCACACGTTAAGGCAGACACATACCTAACCAATCGTCAGCCAAGTTGATGTTCGTGCTAGAGTGTGGATTTGCCCGTTTTGTTTGTCAAGAAACCAGCTTCCACCGCACTACAAAGACATCACGGCGAATGCCATTCCTCCCGAACTGCATCCCGCGAACACCACCATCGAATACCGCCTATCCCGACCCGCCCCTGCTCCGCCGATCTTCCTTTATGTCGTCGACCTGTGCCAAGAAGAGGAGGGGCTATCCTCGCTGAAGGAGTCGCTGGTGATGAGCCTGAGCCTGCTTCCAGAAAACGCCCTTGTTGGCCTCATCACTTTCGGCGCCATGGTAAGGGGTTACAAGACCGTTACGTTCACAGACAAGCACGCGGCTTACTCCATGTCACAGGTTCAAGTGCATGAAATTGGTTACGAGGGATGCGCCAAGTCGTACGTTTTTCGAGGCAGCAAGGATTACACGGCCAAGCAGGTCCAAGATATGCTGGGCCTCTCTTCGCCCGTTATGAGGTCCGGCTTGCAGCCCCAAGCAGGACGTCAGATGCATGGAGGACCGGCCTCTCGCTTCCTCCTTCCCGTTCAGCAAGCAGAATTCCAGCTCACGAAAGCGCTGGAGTCCCTCCAAAAGGACCCTTGGCCAACCGCCACTGACCGGCGAAACCTTCGATGTACCGGTGTGGCTCTCAGTGTTGCCATTGGTCTCATGGAGTCGTCCTTCCAGAATGCTGGTGGCCGTATGATGCTGTTCGCTGGCGGTCCGGCCACGGAAGGACCAGGTATGGTCGTCGGAGCAGAACTCCGCGAGCCCATTCGATCGCATCACGACATTGACCGGGACAACGTCAAATACTACAAGAAGGCTCTGAAGGTAAGTTCCCGCTAGTAACGAAACGCAGCCAGCAGTATAGGTACTGAGCCTTGGCAGTTTTACGATAACTTGGCTAAACGCACAGCTCACAATGGGCATATCATCGACATCTTTGCTGGCTGCCTGGATCAAGTTGGACTGCTGGAGATGAAGGGCCTCTGCAACTCCACAGGTGGCCACATGATTCTGACCGATAGCTTCACGTCCTCGATGTTCAAACAGTCGTTCATTCGTATCTTTGAGAAGGACGGCGACGACAACCTCCTCATGGGATTCAATGCCGTGCTTGAAGTGTTGACAACAAAGGAGCTGAAAGTGACAGGCCTCATTGGGCACGCCGTCTCCCTCAACAAGAAGTCGGTCTCGGTTGGAGAGACAGAATGTGGCATTGGGAACACGTGTTCTTGGAAGATGTGCGGCATCGACCCAAAGGCCAGCTACGGCGTCTATTTTGAGGTTGCCAGTCAGGGGCCCGCTTCCCACCAGCAAGCCCCGCAGAAAGGCATGGCTCAATTCTTGACGTACTATCAGCATTCCTCGGGTCAATTTCACCTCCGAGTCACAACGATAGCCCGAAATCTGAGCGGACCTGCCGGAGACCCGGCCATTGCGCAGTCGTTTGACCAAGAGGCGGCGGCGGTTCTCATGTCGAGGATTGCCGTCTTTAAGTCGGAGGTTGATGATGGCCCGGACGTCTTGCGATGGGTGGACAGGATGCTTATCCGCCTCTGTTCGAGATTCGCGGACTACCGAAAGGACGATCCATCCTCCTTTCGGTTGGAGAAGAACTTCACCCTTTACCCCCAGTTCATGTTCCACCTCCGCCGAAGTCAGTTCCTGCAGGTTTTCAACAACTCGCCCGACGAAACCGCCTTTGATCGCCATGTGTTGAATCATGAGGACGTCAGCAACTCGTTGATCATGATTCAGCCCACGCTGGATTCGTACACATTTGATCAGGACGGAGGAATACCTGTTCTCCTGGACTCTGCGTCTATTCAGCCCACTCACATTCTACTCTTGGATACCTTCTTCCACATCTTGATCTTCCACGGCGAGACGGTTGCCGAATGGCGAAAGGCTGGATACCAAGACCAAGAAGGCTACGAGAACTTCGCTGCGCTGCTGGAGCAGCCTAAAGAGGATGCTAGGGTTTGTGAAAGGAATTGACAAGTGTTTCGATTCATGAGTTGACGCTGGAATAGGACCTCATCACAGATCGATTTCCGCTGCCTCGATTCATCGTCTGCGATGCCGGTGGATCCCAGGCGAGATTTCTGCTATCAAAGCTGAATCCCTCTACCACGCATACGACAGGCCCCTATGGTGGGTCTGGAGCCACTTCTGCACAGACAATATTCACAGACGACGTGTCCTTGCAGACTTTCATGGATCACTTGATGAAGTGAGTAGCTCCCTCGACATTGGCACCGGATGATGCGAATGTGCCTAACTCTTCCCTGCAGGCTTGCCGTGAGCGGCACAAACTAAAAGATGCGGCCGCTTCTTTTCATTTCGCCACCTCGTCTCGGCCGGCGGTGGACAATTCTGGCCGCAGCAGGAGCGGGGAGTAGTGAAGACGGGAAGTAAAAACATAATAGATGTGTCCATCCAAAAGAACCCCTCAAATAAAGAGAAACTGCTTCTTGGCGACACAAACTATGACATTCCGAGTCGTCTGCATCATTAACCTTGGCCCGAGATTTCTGGCCATGACCTTAGGTACCCAAATAGTCTACGGAAGACAGTTCATGTAGACCAGGCTATCCGCGCATGTCATAACGTACCTGACTTTGTCCTCGACAGCCACAAAGTTAGCTGGCGATGATTGGTAGTTGTTTTTTCACGTGCAGAGCGGTGTCCTGGGGGAACTTGAGTTATGGCGCAGCCAGTTTCTCCCAGCGAGTCAAGGTTCGGTACATGAGTGACCTGTTTCAAGGTCCCAGGCACTAAGCCAGCCCGTTTTGGTTAGAGGGATCCTGCAAAATCAGTGCGTCGATTACATAATCATAGGGCAGATTGCTGGGGCACACAAGAAATAATTTCTCGTCTCGCTACAGTTTCCGTCTTGCAACCCGCGGCTGAAGCACTTCACCAGTTTGGCAAGCAAACCACGAGCCTCTGCCACAACACAACCCGCCACAATGCGTACGCGATCTCTTCTCCCCCTGGAACCCGCGTTGCTCGAAGGAAGCTGACCATCGAGCAGCTCCCAAAGTCGATCCCAATGAGATCAAGATCATGTTTGTCTTGCTGGTCACGGAAAACACCCGTCTTGCCCATTCACTGACTGCCAATCTATAGCCACCTCCGAGCCACTGGCGGCGAGGTGGGTGCTTCTTCGGCTCTCGCACCCAAGATTGGCCCTTTGGGGTTGTCCCCAAAGAAAGTCGGCGAAGATATCGCAAAGGCAACTGGTGACTGGGTGAGTTGGTTGGTATGAGACCGGCCCTGCAGAACACTCGCTAATCCACGCCAACAGAAAGGCTTGCGCGTGACTGTCAAGCTCACCATCCAGAACCGCCAAGCCCAAGTGTCCGTCGTGCCGACCGCCTCCACCCTTGTCATCAAGGCTCTCAAGGAGCCTCCGCGCGATCGAAAGAAGGAAAAGAACATCAAGCACAGCAAGTCTGTCAGCCTGGATGAGATTATTGAAATCGCACGAACCATGCGTTTCAAATCCTTCTCAAAGGATCTGAAGGGCACGGTCAAGGAGATTCTTGGGACGGCATATAGCGTTGGATGCCAGGTGGACGGCAAGCCGCCCAAGGTCATCAACGACGCTATTAACAACGGAGAAATTGACAGTAGGTACCCCATCGTCACATTTTTCGGTAACGGTTGCATTTCGCAAAGCTGACATTTTACTCAGTCCCGGAAGAATAGATCTACATGCTTGGTACTCCCTCCTACCTGGCTCAGCGGCGCCGTGTTCCATGGAAGTAGCTGCTAGCCACCTGATGAGAGCACCGCTGGATGGGAAAGTTTTCCCCCTTTTCGCTCGCCAGCTGTGACCATGACCCAAGAAACACTCAGCTCTGCTAGTCTCGCGACCGTCACCGTAGGAACACCCTTGGCTACACTCTGAACTATACTCTCTCGCATTGGTATAGTTCAATTTTTGCTCAAGGAAGATTAAGTCCAAGAGATCTACTACTCACCTCGACACCTTTGGCAATATTGCTTGTGGGCGTAGTGGTCCATCAGATAGACCTACATTTCATGCTTAGAAAGTAAGTCAGCCCACCTAAAGTCCGGCACACCCCAATACCGGCACTCTCTATAACACCATCGCGTCGTTAAATATATTACATTGCAACCGCGTTTTCTCGTGCATCTCTTGCCCTATAATTATAAAATAAATACTATTTATATTAGTAATACCTCGGCTTTCTAAGTATACTAAAAACTAGCTCTAAGAAGCACTCGAAGCTATTAAAAATAGGATGCCTTAGCTTTATACTAGTTAAAAGTAGGGTATTCTAAAAGGGACCCTCTATATATATCTTAAAGGGGCTCTGCTTATTAAGGAAGTAAAAGAGGTATATTAGAGGCTTAGCCGAGAGTAGGAAAAACACCTTACCGACTAGGTTCTTACCTAGGCCGCCCTTAGGCTGCCTCTAATATATTATTTAGTTAAGGAATTTACCGGCCGTATTATTAAGGAATTTGCTAGCCGTATCGTTAAGGCCGGCAGCGATACCCGTCTACTTAGGAAGTAGTAGATTGCGGGCTTTTTAGCCCGGAACCTAGAGATTAGTACTATTAAAGGTAGATCTCTCGATTCTGCTCGCGTTAATACCGCCTCTATAGCCTATATCGAGGAATAGTTTTAATTGCTTAAGCTGCCGGCTATATAGGCAATCCTACTAGAGTCCTACTTTAATATAGACGAAATAGGTATCCTCGAGGGCCTTAGCTCTAATAGTCTAGTACTAGGGAGCTTAAAGAAGCGAGAGACTCTTAAAAAGCGGCTAGGATTATATTATTAGACTATAATAGTTAAATACGTCTCTACTATAGGCTAGGCCTTAACTCCCTTTCTAATTTTTAAGGGTTAAGACCTTTAATATTAATAGTTCCTTAATAAACTTAATTTTCTATAAGATTATCTTAAGGTATATAAGTAAAAGCGGAATTTTAGAAAATTAAGGAATTATATAAGACTAAGTAATAGAGAGGAAGAAGGAGTATAAGGTAGGATTTTTAATAGAATTTATTAGTAATATATTAGTATATAGAAGAGGTGTTAAAGTTAATAATTAATTTTCTATATACTAGCGGACATACTATCTTATATAGATAATTATAGCTAAACGGAAGAACCTTTCGAGACTAGATTTAGGCTGCTATATAGCCCTAAGACTAAGGAATTTAGTAATACCTTAAGTATATTAAGAAGTATCTTAGTTCTACTAATATTCGTATTTAAAGGAGGTTAGTCGTGCCGGTATTCTTAAGAGGTCTTAGCTAGTATTCTAAGCTAGCTCTATTTCTTCGATTCCTAATTATATAATAACCGGCAACCCGTTTAATATATAATAATATATAAAATAATAAGCGATTCTTACTCTATAATATAGGATTTTATCTATAATTAATATACTACTTATTAGCTTATATAATTAGGAGAGTATATTATAGCTGCTTTTTTTATAGTAAGAACACCGTTCCTTATAGCCTTCCTTAAAGAGTAGATTTATATACTCTTTACTAATAGCTACTTTATTTATAGTAGGAATACTATTCCTTATAGCCTCCCTTAAAGAGTAGATTTATATACTCTTTACTAATTTATTTATAGTAGTATATATATAGGGTAAAACCTTAATTTAGGAAAACTATTCTTATACCTTAATAAGATATATAAAAACCTATTCTTTCTTAGGAAAAAAAATCCTTAGGTATATACTAATAGAAAAACCTATAGTAGGAAAAATCTATAGTTATAATAATTATTTATAGGATAACCTTATATAAGGTAAAACCTATTATTACTAGGAAAATCTTAATAGATAAAAACCTAGTAAATATTTCTCTAGGAAACCTAAAAAGGAAAAACCTAGTAGGGGAAAGATATAGAAAGTATAAGAACTATCTAAAAACCCTTTTTAATTACTTAGGAACTTATATTAAAGATAGACTATCTTTAAATTTATAGAGTAATCTAGGTCTTAATTCCTTTATAAAAATATTAGCTATATTATCTTTTAATTTAATATAAAAGACTTTAATTTCCCTTACTTTTATATTAGTTTTAGTATAGTAATAGGCTAATCTTATATACCTAGACCTTTTATAAAATTCCGGATTTTCTACTAATTTAATAGTAGTAGTATTATCCGTTAAAATAAGAGGTATAGTAGTAAGAATCTTAATAGATAGATCCTTAGTAATATTTTTTAAAAAGTATATTTAAATAAATAACTTTTTTATTTACCTCCCTAAGGCTAATATACTATACTTTATAAGTAGAAAGGGCAATAGCTTTCTACTTAAAGTAAGCCTAGCTTATTATATTATTATATATATAAAAATAGTAACCGGAAAAGGATTTTCCGTCTATTAAATCTAACGCTTAGCTAGAGTTAGTAAAACCCTTTATATATAAATAGGTAAAAGGGATATTATAATTATATTTAATCTTTAGGCTAGGGAGTTTATTTAAATATTTCTAAATTATATTTAAAGCTTTAAAATACGTTTAGTTAAGCTTAGCCGCGTATTTAGTATAGGAAATTATAGAATATAAGATATCTAGCTTAGTAAATAAGGCTAAGTATAATAAAGATACTATTTTTTTTAAAATTATAATATATCTTCCTTAAAAGGTAATTCCTTTACTTTTATAATCTTAAAGCTTACTATAGTAAGTAAATTTAAAGTTCCTAAACCTTTTTTATTAAATTCCTTTAATTTATTTAAGGTATAATTTTCTTAGGATATATATAGCTCTTTATTTTCTTAGGTTATTATAATATTTAGACCTAAGAAGTCTTTTATATTTCTTAAGATAGTAAAATCTAGGAATTTAGATAATTCTTTAAATAATCTTTCTTTTATTATAGATTTAAAGGGCCTTACTATAAGAAAGTTATTAACGTAAATTACTAAGGCTATACTTTAGTCCTTATTTATAAATACTCCTTTATCTATTTATTTTATTAAGATTACGCTAAGGACTTAGCTAAAGGTATTTAGAACTTTAATATTAAATAAGAGGGAAAAACTAAAGTACTTAAGGGAAAACCCTTCTTTCTTTTAGTATAGGTCCGCCTTAAACGAGGTCGTAGTAGTAATATATAGGAAATTTACGCTAGCTACTATAGGCTCCTCCCGCGAAGTTATATCTTAGCGCGGGCCCTCTTAGGCCGTAGCTACTACTATCTTAAGCGGCCGCGGCCTAGGCTCGCTAGCCCGGGCCTAGGGTTATAGGTAATAGTCTCTCTTTAAGGGCCCGACTCGCGGGCGCCTCTATTTACCTTAGCTCCCGCGTTATAGCCGCGTAGCTATAGTTACGTTAGCTTATTAGTCTATTAGTTAGTAGGGTAAGTAATATCCGGTTACTAGGCCGGGCGCTAGTATAGGTCGCTCTTAGGTAGGGTGTAACGGGCTGAGCCCGTGAGGGTCTCGGCTCCGCTCTCGACAAGACCCACCGGAGCTCCGCTTATAAGCTCGTGCCATCTTCGAGAGCTTTCCTTTCTTTTCTTTTCTTCTTCTTTTCTCCTTAGCTTTAGGATACTCGTCGCAGTCGCTCAGCTAGTTGTCAACACACTCAGTTGAGACCGTTACATTATCCTAAAGCTCCGCTTTCATCGTTAAAGCCTTTGATCACAATCAATTGGCAGCGCTGTTCAGTTCCCTTTGTGGGTACGCGGAGTGGCAGTAGCTTGGGCAATCCTGTGTGGAACGCCCGCGACGAAAGTGCGTGTGTACGGCGCCAAAGCCAGCTTGGCTCGCGTCGCGTAGCTCTCATCTCCCGAGCAAAGGACGTGGAGCGTCAATCTGCTCTCCGTACGGCGTGCGGTTGAGCGAGAAGTACGTGATTGCTGCTTGGCTCCCAGTGTGGACGGCAGCAGCTGGACTAGAAGCCCTGTGCAGAACGTCCAGCCGTGTAGGAAGGAGCCTTCGAGGCGTTGATAGCGTTCGACCGTTGTCGAGATATCCCTTCCGTATCAGACTTGCTGTGTGATCAAGTCGCCCTCAGTCCTGAGAGACGAGGAGAAAATCTTCAGTCATGGAGGCAATCGATTCCCAGCAAGGTTCTTTTGAGCCTCAATCGATGATGCAAGCCCTGGCTGCAGTGATGGACAAACTAGAAAGTGTGTGCAAGCCAAGAGGCCGAACGCGAAGAGATGCGATCGCAGATCCGAATCCTCCAAACAGCCGTCTCAACTCCGACTCCGGCAAATGAACCAGTCGCTCCTATCGAACCGATGTCCGACAACACGCCTCAATCGATCGAGACATCCGAAAGAATCCCATCAAAGAGGGTAAAACCAACCTTGCCTGATCCGCCGAAATTCGATGGAACCAGGAAAACTTCCGTCCCTGGTTCTTAGAGATGAAAGCGAAATTGGCTGTGGACCGACAGGCATTCGACAATAAAGAAGCACTCTTCGCCTATGTGTACTCCCGGTTGGCGGGAACAGCCCAGAACATGGCCGCTGCTTATTACGAACAGGGCGGTATCGATGGTGCTCGCTCCCCAGATCTGTTTCTCGACTACTTGAACCGTCGGTACGGGGACCCGAACGCAAAGGCACGAGCACTGGATCGACTTCGATCGTTGAAGCAGAAGCCTGATGAGAGTTTCGCCAGTTTCTTCCCAAAGTTCGAGAAAGAGCTTGCCGATAGTGGCGGTGGCGAGTGGGCCGACGTGGTGCAAATCAATTACTTGGAAGGAGCAATTAATAATAGGCTCAAGTCGAGTCTCGTCAGTGCCGTCAGTCTCCCGAAGGATTTCAACAGCTACGCCGAGCTACTCTTGACGATTGGCTCGCGCCTAGATAGCCTCAATTTCCACCAACGACAACAAGGCCGCGAGCAGAGGTCAAGAAAGGAGTATGGTCGTTTATCCGAACCGCTCGAGTCCCGACAAAGCCCCGTCACCCGGATCGCCAACCACGTCGTCCCCCCCGTCCGATGATCAGATGGATTGGGAACCCGTGAAAGCAAATCGGTTGATAAACGGCAGGAGGGCCCCGGAGGAAAAGCAATTTGTTCCGTTGGAGGAGCGCAAATGTTACGAGTGCGGGAAGCTTGGCCATCTTGCGGCCAAGTGTCCGGAAGGAGCGGCAGCAGAGAGTCAAGGTCCGTGTCGAAGAGAAGACAAGAAGCTCGAGAGCAAAGCACCAAGAGCCCGCGGAGAGTTCTAGCGGGGATACCTCCGATGACCATTCGAAAACGAGTAGCTCCTGACGAAAATCGCCGTCAGGAGCGCGCAAAGGCTGAGGCGGAATGGGCAACTCAGAAGGACGAGATGGACTGTGAAGGCCTCTACGTAAATTTCGGTATCAATCGAGAGTATTTCACCACGGCCTTCGTTGACTGTGGTTGCCTGTGTTATGGGACCATCAGTGAGCGCCTTGCCCGCAAGCTTCACCTGCCGCGTATTCCGATTAAACCTCGAGCGTTGGAGCAGGTCAACACATTCTCACCCGAGGCCATCTGTGCCGTGACCTACTTCGACTTCGATATCGACGGGTACCAGAAGAAAAGAGCTTTTTTCTACGTTGTGCGAGACCAGACCGATCCTGTGATTCTGGGCAAGAAGTGGTTGAACCAGGAGGATGTCACCTTGCGATTATCGCAGAACCTCTTGCATATCGGGACGCACGACCATTGGGTGAAAGGCCGAGACCCGAAGGAGGAGGAACGGTGCAACATACGAGGACAGGCGGCGTTCGTGTTCGCCGGAATGGTTCGCCGAGCAAGAAAGTTCAAGCATCGAGACGATGGAGTGCGGATCTTCGCCGCAAGCCTGAAAGACATTGAGAAGGCATTGACTCGAGGAAGAAGTCAGACCCGAGAGAGAAGCTGCCCCGTCACTACCACGAGTACCTATCCGTCTTCGACCGCGACCAAGCGGACCAACTCCCACCGCGTCGTCCGGGGTGTGATCACAAGATTCAGTTAGAGAGAGGTCCTGATGACAAGGAGAAAGAACCGCCGTGGGGACCATTGTACGGCATGTCACGAGAAGAGCTCATTGTTCTGCGAAAGACTCTCACTGAGCTACTCGACAAGGGTTTCATTCGAGCAAGTAGTTCTCCAGCGTCAGCACCAGTTTTGTTCGTGAGGAAGCCCGGTGGTGGTCTGCGCTTTTGCGTGGACTATCGAGGATTGAATGCGATCACCAAGAAAGACCGATATCCCTTGCCGTTGATCGAGGAAACTTTGCGGTCGCTGTCCAAGGCCAAGTGGCTCACCAAACTTGACGTTATCGCAGCATTTCACAAGATTCGCGTCGAGGAGGAGACGAGTGGAAGACAGCATTCAGAACACGTTACGGACTCTACGAATGGCTTGTCACGCCATTCGGGTTGACGGGTGCTCCGCAACGTTTCAGCGTTACATAAACCACACGTTGCGAGATTTCCTCGACGAGTTCTGTTCCGCTTACATTGACGACATCTTGATCTACTCGAGCGGTTCGCTCGCAGATCATCGCAACAAAGTCAGGCAGGTCCTTGCTCGACTGCGAGATGCAGGCCTGCAGATTGATATCGACAAGTGTGACTTTGAGGCAAAGAGTGTCAAGTACCTGGGCTTCATCGTCGAAGCCGGGAAAGGTATCCGCGTGGACCCGGAGAAGGTGCAGGCAATTCAGCAGTGGCAGCGACCCCGTTCTGTCAAAGGCGTCAGAAGCTTTCTGGGGTTTGCCAACTATTACCGGCAATTCATTCCCAGATTCTCCAACATCGCCGCGCCTCTAACGGCGTTAACAAAGAAGGATGCGGTGTTTGCGTGGTCGAAGGAGTGCGACAAGGCCTTCGAGGAGTTGAAGGCTCTTCTGACCAGTGCGCCGGTCCTTGCGCAATGGGATCCGGATAGAGAGACGATTGTGGAGACGGATTCATCCGGTTATGTCACAGGAGGGCGCTCTCGCAAAGGGCGATGACGGCATCATGCGGCCTGTGGCCTTCTTCTCAAAGAAAACGCACCGGCGGAGTGCAACTACCCAATCCACGATAAAGAGCTGCTGGCGATCATTCGCTGCCTTGAGCATTGGGACGCCGAATTGAGGAGTGTGAAGTCCTTTACCGTTTTGACGGATCATCTCAACCTCCGTTACTTCACCAAGAAGCAGCAACTGAGTGAACGTCAGGCGCGATGGGCTGAGACGCTATCGCGGTACAGCTTCACCATCAAGCATCGACCGGGCAAAGAAGCCGTCGTACCGGACACGCTGTCTCGACGAGAACAGGACATGCCGCACAGCGCCGAAGATGATCGGTTGCAAGGACGACGTGTTCAGCTGCTGCAACGTAACAAGGGTGGCCTGGTGACAAAAGTCAAGAGCGGTTATGTCACCAAGGGCGACACGGATCAACCCGATGACGCAACAACTGACCAAGACGACTCAATCGAAAACCCTTTCTCGGACCCGGAACTGCAGAAGTTATGGGACGAAGGTGTCAAGAAGCACAATCGTTATTGGCTCATCCGAAAGGCCGTACAGCAAGGCGAGAGGCGTCTGCCGTCGCATTGGGGACTGCCCGTGATGCTCTCGGAATGCTCGATTGACGATGGACAGCGGCTCTGCTGGCGAGAGCGAATTTGGGTGCCGAACCACGAACCCCTGCGCACGCGGCTTATGCAGGAGACGCATGACTCAACGCTTGCAGGACACCCCGGACGGGACATGCTGAAGTCCTTGTTGAGCCGCAAGTTTTATTGGCCAGGCCTCGATTCAGACGTGCGTCAATTTGTGAGAAATTGTGATGTGTGGCCGAAGCAACATTTGGCGAGAGAAGCGTCGCGGTTTATTGAAGCCGCTACCTATTCCAGACAGGATCTGGTCGGAGCTGTCAATTGACTTTGTGACAGACCTGCCACCAACCAAGTCGAACGGTTCGACCAACCTTATGGTCGTGACGGACAGACTGTCCAAAAGTGTCGTTCTTGAGTCATTGAAGGACATCACGGCCGAGACGACGGCCAGAGCATTGCTACGGAACGTGGTGCAACACCATGGCGTGCCGCGCGCGATCGTCACTGACCGTGGCACGCAATTCACCAGTAGACTATGGCAGAGGCTCTGCGAGCTGCTACGCGTGAAGCAAAGATTGTCTACGGCGTGGCATCCCGAGACTGACGGTGCAACAGAAAGGGCGAATCAGGAAGTCGAGAGATATCTGAGGATCTTTGCTGCTTATGCTCAGGATAACTGGGAAGAGCTGTTGCCAGCGGCCATGATGGCCATCAACAATCACAACTCGACGTCGACAGGCCTGAGCCCGTTCTTTATCACGCATGGGTATCATGTTGACCCGATACAAGTCAAGGAGAAGTTACGGACGGACGGAAGGTCCCCAGTGACCAGGGCTGAAAGCATTGTGCAACGATTTCGAGAGGCAACGGAATGGGCCCAGGCGGCAATTGCGTCAGCGCAAGAGCAGCAAGAGAAGAACGCCAATTCGCGAAGACAGCCGTCAGACCAGTTCAAGCCTGGAGACAAGGTATGGCTGCGACTTCGCAACATCCGATCCAATCGGCCATCCAAGAAGCTCGATTGGCTGTCGGCCAAGTACACCGTCCTGGAGACCATTGGGTCACACGCGTGCAGGCTGGACACGCCTCGGGAATACACAACGTGTTCCACGTGTCGCTCTTACGCTTAGCAGCGGACGATCCGCTACCGTCACAGACGTCGGATGACTACCGCCCACCGGCCATTTTGACGGACGATGGCGAGCTGTGGGAAGTGGAAGAGATTCTGGACAGGAAGAAAGTCGGGAGAGAGTGGAAAGTGTTGGTGAAATGGGTCGGATGGATAGGTCCGACGTGGGAGCCAGTCAAGTACGTCGCAGACACAATAGCACTGGCTAGGTATGAAGAAGTTCATGGGAAAGTTGGATCGAAACCACCCCAATCGAAACGATCGAAACGGGGGAGGGGAAGGAGGGGGTTATTGTAACGGGCTGAGCCCGTGAGGGTCTCGGCTCCGCTCTCGACAAGACCCACCGGAGCTCCGCTTATAAGCTCGTGCCATCTTCGAGAGCTTTCCTTTCTTTTCTTTTCTTCTTTTCTCCTTAGCTTTAGGATACTCGTCGCAGTCGCTCAGCTAGTTGTCAACACACTCAGTTGAGACCGTTACATAGGGCCGGCTAATTAAAATTTAGTTAGCCGGCTCCGCTAATCGTAAATCGGTTCTTATCTAGCTACGCGACTTCTTAATTAAGGGTATAGCGGCCTATATTTACCTTCTATTTTATAGTTATTAATTATATACGCTTAGCTCGCGCTTATATATACCTACCCTCCTCCTTTAGTTCTATATATACCTCCTCCTATCCCTTTATTATCTATCTCTTTTATAGGCTTAACTACTACCTTACTTACCTTATTTCTATAACTCTAGGTCTCTTTAGCACTATATTTAGTTTACTTATTATCGCGTTATAATATCTAACTAAGAAGCTAACTTAAGTAGTAGCGGCTCGCCTTTTTTAAAACCCTTTCTTTATAAGAAAGTCGCTATAGTAGCGGGATTAAAGCGCTCTATCTTATATTTTATATATATTAAGCGTCTTATTAATAAGCTTATTTATAAGTCCTTTACTAGCTATTAAAACTAGTTTTATATATATTAATCCTAGCTTTATCTTAGGTCGGTCCTACCTTTAGTATTTTTACTAACTTTAATAGCTATAAAGGCTAAAGTATATATTACTTACGCTAACTTTAACTAGTTTTATTACTAAATAAGTAACCCTTTCCTACTATAGTACTATCTAAGTTTAGTACTAATCTATATTTTAGATTACTTTTAAAGGTAAAGAGGCCGCTAATACCCTATACTAAGTATAGTCTAAGGTTAATAGCCCTTCTCTTATTAAAGGTTTAGTATAAGAGCGCTTTTATTATATTACTTTAGAAACTTATATTTACGCTAATTAAAAGGCCCCTACTATTAAAAGTAAGGGCGCGTTAAGCGAGTCTACCCTTAGTCTAGCTATAGTCGCTAAGAATATAAAGATACTTATATTAGCTTTTACTTATTTTATAGATAATACTTACTATATATATAAGTCCTTAAAAAAGTACTTAAGTAAGTTTAGCGACGCTATTAAGACCTTAGCTTAAGTTAAGCTTAAGTTGCTCTTAGTTACTTAGAAGACTCTTATAGTAGTTAATAATCTTATTAACTATTTCTATCTTATTACTAGCGATAGCCTTAACGCTAAGGATAGTAGTTTTAATCTTACTAGTCTTACTAAGCTTATTCTAGCCTTAGTTCCCTTTAATAAAGGGAAAGGTAAAGGTAAGGGTAAGGCGGTAGCTACGTTTAAGGCCCTATCTAAGGCTAAGGCTAAGGTATCTATGCCCGCGGCTATCGCGGAGCTAGCTTAAGAGCTAACTATATCTCCCTTTAACGCTAAGCTATAGCCTAGTAGTTCTCTTAGCGCCGAGCCCGCCTTAAAGCGTCCCTATCTTATATTACCTACCGATCTTACTAACGCTCTTAACTTTATTTAGTAGCGTCTTTATAGCTATTATAGTTCGGTCTTAGCTAAAATTATCGTTAGTTTTAACCTTAACTAGATCTAGGGTTATAATATAAGCTATAGTAAACGCCTTTATACCGCCGCCGGTATAAGTCCTACCTTAGTATAGACCCTAGTTATTACTCTATCTTATAAGCTAGCTATCTAAGCTAGCTTTAGTTTAGGTTTAAGGTCGGGTTTATCTAATTATTATTAGGGTTCTTATAGCGGTAGTAGTCCTTATACTCCTTATAAGCCTTAGGTTACTCCCTCCTATACTCCGCGTACTACCTTAAGAGGGTTTTATTATTCCTACTATAATAATAAGGCGGACGTTATTACTAACGAGCCAAGCTAAGGTTATAGTTTAAGGGGGGGGGCTAGTTATTAGCTCTATCTTAGTTTAGTTTTAAGTTAGGTCTTATTTAGTTATAGTCTTTTAATAGTAGGTCTTATTCTATAGCTATTAAGGTTAGTTTAGTTAAGTTATATTAGTTTTATTTAGTTTATAGTTTAATTAGCGAGGTTTATACTTAGTCTAGGTCTAGTTTAGTTAAAGCTATAGTCTTATAATTATAAGTCCTTTCCCTTTTTAAGTCGCCTTAGTAAGGGAAGTAGTTAGCTAAGGTAGTCTTAGTTAGGGCCGCTCTATCCTTAGCGCGACCTTAGTTCTATTATCCGGTATATCTATATATAGCCTCTAAGCTAAGTTAAATTAATAGAGCCTACCTAAGTAAAGGAACTATTATATTAGCGGCGCCGCTATTCTTTTCCTTTAAAGGCCTACTCTTATATTACTTATATCCTAGGCCTATATAAAAAGGGACTCCCTTACCTTTACTATTAATAGATAGTCGATTATTATATAGTAAATAGTATCTTATTTTTATCTATAAGTATATATTAGCGAAACTACGCTAAGGACCTATTAGTTATAAAAGAAGTTATTAAGCCCGATCTTTCTTATATATATCTAAGTAATTACTATACTAATATACTTAGGGAGGCCCTTATAATAGTCTAGCGTTATCGCTTTATTAAACTAAGGTAGGAAGTTAATAGGGTAGAGGGTAGTTTAGTATTATTAGATTATATCTTCCTTAGTATTTTATTAAGCGGCTTATTTCTTATTTAGCCTTTTAAGCGACTTAGCTTTATCTAAAAGGTCGTTTAATCTTATCTAGCTCTAGACCCCCCTTATCTCCTCCGCGAAGGGGGGTCTACCTAGAGGTAGTACTACTAAGGGTCTACTCTCTCTTTAGTATCGCCTCCTTTTAAGTATACTTACGACCGCGTTAAACGCGCGTTAGATTTAGCCTAAGAGCCCTAAGTCCTTTAGCCTTTAAAGGGTATCTATTATTTTTTAGTTTAAGTAGAGGTCGATTAAGGGCACCTATACCTCCGCTTTAACTTAGTAGACTAAGGTCGCGTAGTAAGCGCCTATTATTACCTAGAGGTAAGCTAACTAGTCCTAGGTAAAGTCCTATACGATTTTATATAGTTTCCCCCTTATAGGCGTTATCTTATAAAATATAACTATAGCGTAAGAGATTAAGGACTAAATTACCTTACTATAGACTTCCTTAGCGTATAGTAAGGTATAGCCTTATATAAACGCCGCGAGCTTAGTTAAGGCTATAGTCTAGCGCTTTAACTTTACTTAGAGTTATTTTAAGTATGCCTTTTAATATAGTTTCTAGTATACCTAAACCCTTAGTAAGTAGGCCTCTTAAACTAAAGTTACTAAGTCGGCCCTAAGATAAACTAGCGTTATTATCGCTTATCTCTTTTATATAAAGTATAGTAATTTACTCTTTAATAGTTTAAAGGTAACTATAAACTTAGTCGCTTATTTTATATATACCCTCTAGGCTTCCTTTAAGCGTACTACTATAGTAGCTTTATTAGGTTTAATACTAACTATATTTATATCGTTAGTATAAGAATATACCCTTATATTCTTATTTTACTATTATAAAGAAATAATAGGTATAGGGAGGCTTTATAAAATAAGCTAATAAAAAGAGGCTCTATAATATAGTCTAAGGGAATAACCCTTAAAAGATAAAGACCTTTACTAGATATCTATACCTTTCTTTAAGAAAAGCGGGTTAGGATAAGCCTATCCTTATAAATAAAAATATATATAAAATATATAAGTTAATTACGAGTAGAACGGATACCCTATTACTTATTTTAGCCTAGCGGTTCCGAAGATATCCGCGATATAAGAATAGGTAGGGCATAGAATATTCTAGTTAAATCTACTACTTATACTAAAACCTATAGTCTTATATTAACTATTATGCTATAATTAGACTACCTACTAAGTTAGGAAGATATAATATAGATAGAGCTTTTTAAGTACTATAAAATATACTAGAAAGCTAACTAATTAGTCTACTAATAGGCGAGCAATAGTCTATAAAAGATAAAAGATTTCCCTAGGAGTAGTAGATAGAATAAGTAAGTTTATAAGTATCTTTTATAACGCTATTCTTTTAATATATTATTTAGCCCCTTATATACTTATTATAAATTCTAGATAAAATCCTACTCTATACTCCTTTAACTAATCTTTCCGCTTATATTATTAATTACCTAATTCTACGCTTATTACTTATACCTTCTTATAGTTAGTAAAGCTAATAGTATAAATACTATATATTATACTAAGCCTTTTATATAGGGGGGTTATATAGTATAGAAATAAGATCGGGGATAAGGGGGAGCCTTAAGGGACTCCTATTAGTACTTAAGTTAGCTTTAAGGTCCTCTTATTAAAGTAAAAGGTCGATCTTTTATTACTTATAAAGCTCTATATTAGGCTTATAAGCTACCTAAGGTATCCCTTAAGCTTTAGTTCCCTTATAAGCTTATTATAGTTAACCGTATTAAATACGCCCTTAATATCTAGCTATAGGAATAATATAATGCCCCTTTAAGCCTATATCGCGCGTATTAATTCTATTATTAATAGGATCGCTACTTTTATAAAGCGTTCCTTTCTATTCCTTATTTATCTATTTAATAGGATACTATTCGCCTTTACTACTCCTATAATCTTCTAGGCTAGTATCTACTTAAGTACTTTTCCTACTATAGGTAGGAGGGAAATTAGTCTCTAACCCCCT